CATACACCCAGCAGCGCTGCTGATGCCTGAACGGTATGTGGAATGAAGTGGGCGGGCATCGGGAGGCCACTATGGCACGGGGCAAGCACTATGGGCAGTCTGTCTGAAGTGTACCTGGCGTATAAGACGACCCCCCACTTGGAGGCATATTTTTCAGGGCCAAAAAATCGTCTTATACGCCGGCAAATACGGTAAGATAATACATATTGCGACACTGATGCCAAAGTGAGTCCAGCAAACCAATAAATAGGTTTTCTCTTTATCTTGGAAAAGCCTCTTTTCTGACATAACCAAGGAGTACAATATTTTATTTAACCAAATTGTAAGTTATGTATGTTATCAGTTTTTAAAGAATTAAAAAATTAAACATAGTGCATAAACTATGCCAAACATTCAAAGGGTACTTCAAAGTTTTATGTTTTTGCTTCATCTTCATCTTAAGTATCTGTAATCGTTAATGCCTGAAGAAATTGTGCTATTAAGTATTTTTGTTGCAAAAATGCTATGTCACAATGGGTTTTCTTACTTGAATCCTAAACTGTGAACCTAGAGATCCAATTCTATTCATTTTTCTCTTTCACTAGCTGGTACATAATGCTTAATGTCTATAGTGTGAATGAAATAAGTGAATAAAGTTTATAACCAAAGTTTTCAATAAGACAAATAATGAAACACTCCAAAGTCACTGATTATAAAGAATATGCAATCCATTTGAGATTTATTGCATTTAAAGAAAGCAGATTATTAAAACAGGTATGATAAATACAATAAGAAAATAACTTTAAATTTCAAACAAAACAAAGTGAATGGGGGACAGAAATTCAGTCGATAAGAATAAGCAATGTCAAGACAAAGTAGTAAAATCAGTTAGTGCTTAATAAGATAAAGGGAGAAAATAAAAGCAACTGGTACTATCTCATAACAGTTTCCCAGCTATATTTGAAGTTACCATAGAAAGTACATTTTGTAACTATTAGAAATATAATAAAGATGTAAATCAGGCTTAATAAAAGTTATTTGCTTAGTGGTACATAAAAGGCTTCAGAAAATTCAAGTTTAACAAAAAAAATGGAAATGTAATCAAAGAAAGTGCACTTAAAGCTGTTTGCCAGCAATTAAAAAGTAGTTCATTACCATACTGCTTACTATAGATGACTTTCAATCACAAAAAGAGCTAGGAATAAAAACTATTTTTTTCAAAAATAGAACTATCAGTTTTTAAATAAAAATCACCCCAAATGATGACCCATTGCATTTTCCTCTGTCTACCGTATTCTTTTAGTGGCTTTTGTAAACCCTCACTAGGAGTGAAAGTTCTTTTAGTAATGATTGTGGTTGCAATTCCATTTAAAATTGATATATTCACATTAACTCTACTGAAGAGACATGTGCATGTGTGTTTACATATTTCTCTTAATATATAAACACCAGTGTGTATAAAAGTTTTCAAATAAACTATCATTTATGTTATTCTCACAGTAAGTATGCCATCTCATTCTCACAGTAAATCTCTCAGCTCAAGATTGAACCTAAAATGATGAGTAATTTTGCTTAAAAAGAATAGAAAAAAAAGGTGTACTGCACGTTCTATATATATGAAAATGAATGTACCCAAACTCCTCAGGACTAGTGATACCAATACACATGTACCTTCTAGCAGTGCTTATATGAAGTACCACAACCTAAGAGGACCAAGCAGAGCAGCTGAGTAGTGAAAACTGCCCTGCCTGGTGAATATCAGAGCAGAAGAGGGGGCTCAACTTGGTATTACCAAGCAGAGCAGCTGAGTAGTGAAAACTGCCCTGCCTGGTGAATATCAGAGCAGAAGAGGGGGCTCAACTTGGTATTTTCCACCAGCAAGATGAGGACAAGACTCATCACTGTTAAACAATAAGCAGGGTAGGGTCAAAGGGAACATTTATCTACAGTCCCGAATAATGTTGTAACTCTGCCCAAATACACACACACACACACACACACACACACACACACACACACACACACACGGTTGGGTCAGTGGAACAATTACACCATTTCCCAGACTGATCCTTTTGCATAAATATTCTAGTCAGTTAAACTTTCATCCAGCCTACAACCTTTCCTCTTCCACCCAACATTTATACCAAGCAACGTTAGCGTCTTAACAGATACATTCTTTGAAGTGATACTATTAAAATAATTAAGCAAATGGTCCACTTTTAGAAAAATTATTCAAAATCAACAAGCATGATTAAAGCTGTTAGGGCAGAAATAACTTTGGCCTCAGATTTTTGCTAGCTTCATATTTTACTTCCCTTAGTGATGTTTGTTCAAGTATTACAGGTTTAGAGTTATAACTAACATGCTACAGCACAACACACACCTGATTAATAGGAATATAATTTCAACTTTCCTTCCCTAAACCAGAATTGGACCACCCACAATAGAGCCGAACTTCCACTGCGTGCTGCGTGCCAAGTGTGTGTCAAACCTTTTCACATGCTTTGGGAGCTTTATTTTCGTAGTTCTCACAAGGGAATGAGCTGGGTATCAGCTGTCTGGAGCTGTGTGTACATCCTAACAGCAGTGGGAGGAGATGACTGAACATGGAAAGCAACCCTCATCCTGTAGTGCGGAGGAAACGCCTCTACTCCTCCAAAAAAGCACTCCCCGTTTCTAGCCCACGGGGTCCCCCATCGAATCCCTACGTGTTTCCTCTGAATTATAATCTGTAGAGGAAAGTCACTGAGCTGTAACATAAGAAACTTAAAAATGTAAATATTTTAAACAATGTCAAAATTGTTTCTTTAGAATTTATCCACATTATAACCCAGAGTCCAAGTCACTTAAAAATATTCATTGTATTGATACACAATCCTGGGCATGTGCCCTGCCCAGGAATCAAACCATGACCTCCTGGTTCATAGATCAACACTCAACCACTGAGCCACCTCAGCTGGGCTTCATGAAAAGCAAATGTAAGCAAGGCCTTAGTATCAGGGAGAGACTAGAATTTCATGTTTACATCCCATGGAGACCACACTAATTCATCCACTGCCCCTTCTAAATCAGAACTCCTGAGGTCTAGCAGAGACCAAGGCCGAGGGCTAAAACAGTCAAAGAAGCACACTGGGTATACATCAACCAACAGATTTTCATTTTAAAAAATTTCTTCTGTTTGATACAAACCTACGGTAGTTCATGAATTTATTATATGTAATCATCAACTCCTCGCTTTTAAAATAAAGTATCCCGTGAATCTACTTTGTAAAGTTTTAAAGAACATCTACTTAGACATTTGGATTAGCAGTATTACTCAACCTGAGAATCAGAAAGAAAAAAAGGTGCAAACATATTTGCCTTTGGCACACACAGGACAAGTATTGGTACAGTTGGGCTCCAAAGTGCAGCTCTTAAGCAGTAATGTGATGCTTGATCTGCCTCTGCTGTGATTCACATATTGCTTCCCTATCAGTCCACAAATTTGCTTCTGTTTTTTTTTTTTTTTTAAAAAGAGGCAATAAAAATGAATATATGGTCTAGTTACATATACTCTGCTGCTTCCCGAGTTTAGAACTGTGAAAACAAGCAAATAGCTCATCCCAACTGGGACACTATCATTAAGAGATTCTAATAAGATTACTCATAAAATACACTTTAACTGGGTCCAAAGAGAATTTAAAATATAGCAATCAAGGAGAGTGCCAGTTGACAAGAGTTTCCACCCTTTCTGTGAATAGCTTTCACAGAAACTTCTACATGTTAATTTGATAGGGAAGGAGACAATTATAAATTAAAATACTTGAAGACACATTAATTCATATATTTAATTTCTATCTTATTAGTTCCTATAAAATCTCAAGTTTCTAATTAGGATTTATGGCGTAAAAAAAAAAGGCAATTTGGTAGCTAAGTTCTTTTCATTAAAGACACAATCAACTAGCAGAGTTAAGACACCAGTTCCTCATCACCTGATACCTTTTACCACTATGTAGCCAGTGTAAGATGGTCAACCCCGCAGAGGGTAGAGGTTCGCAGCAGGATCTGAGTCCTGCCCATAAGGCTTGGGGCTGTCACTGTTCTGTGCACTTCATTACAAACCTCTCCCTCTCCCCCCGCCCCAAACCTAACAAAAGAAAACTGTCGCTCTTGACCTGGGGAATATTTGGTGAAGGTGGTAATTTAATAAAGTACATTATTATATACATGATTTTACATTGTAAACGTTTTAAAAACTCAGGGTTTCAGCTACAGCTTTTTTTTCTGAAATAAAAAGTCTATATAATCCTTGTCTCCTCACACCATTTTCCAATAATCTTCTTTATTAGGGACGTGAAAACAAAAGTTTTGAGCAAGAAGCCATTCAAAAGCGGAACATTAAATGTTCAAGTACTGTTTTTTCTCTCTTCTATATCATTTTTTCTTTTACATTTTGCACGCATCAGGTATCAAGTTTTTGTTCTAGGCTTCAACGTAGATATTCCATATTAATGGCACTTGTTTTTAAAAATGAAAGTTTTAGGCACAATAGTTATTTCTGGCTCTGCTTTGTAGAGAATGGTAGAAGGATTAAAATCTCTGCATTCCCCAGAAAATAAACTTCTGATTCTTTGTGAAGACAGGATTCTGTTCTACTGTTGGAAATTAGAAGGGACCCTTAAAAAATCCACAAGTGAAGCCTGTGTGTGTACAGATAGCCTTGGCTTTAATGCTGGGTTCTGGAATGAGCCTGGATGGGCACACAAACATGACATTCTGGTACACGTTCTCCCGCACATCTGGAGCCAGGCCACAGGCATCCCCTGGATTTCAGTGCTGTCACCAAGTCAGTAGCTGGAACCCTGGGCCAGAGCTTCCAAAGCAGCTCCCTCTTCCCGCCTGGAAGAGACACCAAGTCACTACCCTGTGGAGATACTTCCTTTTGCGATTTGGTTTTTTAACCCCTTCCCCAACAATTTTTTTGTTAAAAACGTTTCTTTTTCAGACTAATTTTTTTATTTTGGTTCTATATAGTATTTTTGATGCTGGTTATGTCTGTTTTCTTTGCTCTACCTTTCAGAGTCTTTATATCTGTATACACACACACACACACACACACGGTAGCCTTGCTGGCACTACTTCTAGCAACCTTTCCCCAATTGCATGATGCAGTTCCCCAGAATCGTGAGTACATCATGGGAACAAGAGGTCTTCCAAGCCAAGATGGTAACCTAGCCCCATGGATAGTTGACAACACTGAGGTGACTGGTAAAGGGAAGTGCAAGAACATTAAAGTGGCATTGCCTTTAATGTACCATTTAGTAAGAAAGCCTCAGCAAAATCCTGTTGAGCAAATCAAAAGGAGGCTAATGCTGCTTGCTACAGGCCGGCCCGGAGTTACCCCACACATTATCGGCCCGTACACCTCACTGGACTTTAGAGGCAGCCTCATCGCTCTCCAGCAGAGGATGAGACATAAGCCTGCTACGGGGCTTACTAGACCTCCAAGAACATTCGAGAGTTGGACCTAGGGGACGTGCATTTGTAGCCCAAGTAAAATTAGTTGCATCATTTGAAATGACTCCCTACATCACTATTAAGTCCTTTGTCCATGAAGGCATGTCTCACGCAAGCTTCCTACTGGGAGTTGGTCATGAGATAAAGAAATTTATGGATGTCAAGGATAAACTGCTCGAGAAATATGGTCCTGCCATGTTTCCTTACTTGAAGGCTCTTAGGCTTGAAGGTCTTGAACCGCTTGCACCAGTATGTTTTCCGAATCTGCAAGGTTGCAAACACTCGCAAGAGGAAAGCTGACCCTACTTTCAGACTATAAATCCAATAAAGAACAGCTCTCACATTTACCTGAGTACGAGATAGATGCTGCATTGTCTACACCAATAAAGAAACGAATTCTTGATAACAAAGATGCTGAAGGAATAAATGCTGCCTACCGCACAACTGATCAAGACATTAGCACAGCAATGGAATCTTCTGAGCCTCAAACTACCATTGATGTAATTAAGCAGTTCTTGGTTGCCTTAGGTGCAAACAGCTCCCAACCTTAATTTAAAAGAAAAAAGAGCTATACAAATCAATTTTCTCTCAAATTCATAAAACTATTCATCCTTTTTTGAAACAGGGGTTAACACCAAGAGTCCATCAGAAGTGTCTACTGTTTAGAAGGAAATGGAGCAGCACCAAATGGGTCTAATTCGATGGACTGGGGCTGTTGGGCCTGAGGTGAAGTGACGCTCTGCACCACAAGTTCTGTAAAGGGCACGGCACCAAAGTCATCCATTTTCAATGCATCTGCACTATGAAAGGACCCATGGAGTGAGTTGGGTCTTGGCCACCCGGGCAGTACAGGGTTGTGGTCAGCACGGATGTCACCCAGGCCCTGGTGGGAAGGGTGCCATGGCACGTCTGGGGGATGGAAGGGCTTGGCCCCAAACGGGTCCAACAGACTCTCCTCGGGAGGCAGGACATTCCCCCTGTCCTTCCCGTCAGTCAGCGCGATGCTAATGTTCTCCTTGGAGTCTGAGATGGTCAGGAACTCGTTGCTGCTCTGAGAGTCGCGGCGGCCCACCTTTTTGTGCCTGCGGGCCCTCTCTGGAGTGCGGTAGGTGGGCTTCACTAGCTTCTTCGTGCTGGTCGGCGTGCCGTGGTGCCGCTTTCCGTTACTTTTGGACGAATCCTGCTTTGTGCGCCTTTGGCGAGAAGATAGTTTCTGTAAGCTACGCTGTTTGACTTTTTGCTGCTGACTCCCAGTTATTTCCTCAAAGGGCACGAGGCCAAAAAGGTCCTCGTGGCTGTCACTTTTGCCTGTGGATGTGGGAAAGGGCTGAAACGGAGCAGAGCCAAATATATCTACACTTTTGGGACAACCAGGGAGAGTCTGTGCTTCGGGCCCCGCTGCATGACCGTCTTGGACGTTCACCTTCTTGCTAAAGGGGGCCTTCGTGAAGACGTCAAATTCCTCGTGCTCCAGTCCTACAGGAGGAAAACAGGGCTGCTGAGGGAGGCTCTTCTCATTCTCTCCTTGTGGGGGCTGCTGAGCACGCACTGCAAAGAAGGGGACAGCGCCAAACACATCAAACTCCTGTTTGGGAGTCTCCACTCCTGCATTAGAGGGCACTTGGGGTGAGCTGAGGAGTGCTGCATTCCGATCTTGAATTGGTCCACCACTGGGTTTGTCTCTGTAGGCAGGGCTCCCGGCACTGTACTTGACTTTGGCCTGTTCATCATCAGAATCAGAGCTGTGTTTCTCTTCCTCTTCCTCATCTTCAGAGTCCATGAGAAGAGGCCTATGACCCAGATTTTCCGGTTCAGTATCATCATCGTTGAAATCTTGTCCTCCCTGAAGAACTTCTTCATCTTCTTGCTCTTCCTCTTCACTGCTCTTAGGAGAAGGGGGATCCGATTCAAAATCACTTTCAGATTCGTCATTTCCCTTCTGCACCTGACCCTGTATGGATGAATTCTCTGAGGTTTTCTTCCCAGCCCGGTGGTCTTTAGACATTAGACTTGTCTTTCTACTCTTCATAGGGCTTGCAGGGCTATTTTCTTGATTCGTGGATGAATGTTCGATTTTCTTTTCAGGAGAACCTGCAAGTTCAAAGAAAATGCTTTTAGAATTCTAATGCATTTCAAAACCATTTGCAATAAACAATATTTACTAACACAAAGCATTCCAAATCCTTCATACCAGTTCTCTTGCAGTGGTTCTCAACCTCCCTAATGCCGCGACCCTTTAATACAGTTCCTCATGTTGTGGTGACCCCCAGTCATAAAATTAGTTTTGTTGCTACTTCATAACTGTAATTTTGCTACTGTTATGAATCGTAATGTAAATATCTGATATGCTATATGTATTTTCCGATGGTCGCGACCCACAGGTTGAGAAACACTGTTAGAGTAAGACATAAGGTCAGTTAGGCTCAGGGAATGCCACTTGTCCTGACCATCCACTGACTGGATGGTCAGGTTCTTCAGAGCAGACAGACTTACTTGTCTCTGTCCCTACATGCCACCTACTCATCTCTGGCCCTCACCTACAGATAAGTTTTATTTATACCTGGCATTGAACTCTAAATACAGTACACAAGCAGATCTTCTTCTCCCTCTTTCAAAATAAGATTATTCAGACAACTGCCCCTGCAATTACCTGCTTATATTTACCAACCTTTTGCTTATATTTCGTTGTTATGAAGTTTGATATGTATATAGATACCAACAAGCATGAATAGCTTGTCTGCTCAATTATGTTTCACTTTCATTTTCTTAATTGACATTCGTGTGTGTGTGTGTGTGTGTGTGTGTGTGTAAACTAATATCGTAGGAGTCGGGTTAACATGGAATGCATCCCCTTAACCAGACCAAAGCTAAGGACCAGGCTCTGAACTGAGCTGTACCAAGGGCATCTGCCTTCTCCAGATGACACAGCTTCCTTTATCATTTCTATACTAGTAGACATCACATTAAAAGTATGTGCCACCCATGAAAAAATGTTAACGGCCACTGTAGGATTAGTAACAAAGTTGCACCAGAGTGCTCTACAACGTCATTGTATATAATGAAGATATAGTCTATTAGTTTACATGAAAATATACTGCCATCCCAATACGCTGGTGTACTGATCCGATTTTCCAGAGGTAGAGACCGAATTGAGTTGATCCAACCACATACCTATTCACCCTTTCCCCTCCTTGGATTAATCACATATTTTCAAAACAATTAGCCAGGGCTGGAAGTCTAATCTGCAGTCATAAAAATAATTTGCTTATGATGGAAGAATTATTGCTTTCCCGTTGGTAACATGGTGCCCCTATGGCACATGACACCTCCTCTGAGTTATGTCCTTCTCTTTGAAAGTCAGGTCTGCTGTCTTCCCACCTCTCTAACTATTCTTTCTTGGTCATAACTGTAGAGACTTCTCTTCCAGTGGCATCTCCTTAAACATGCACGTTCCCCAGGGTCCTGTCCTTGGTTGTCTTTCTCCGTCTGCATGGCTTCCCCTGGTTTTTAACTAATGTATGTTAACTGTCACATGCACCCTAATGACTGGATCTCTAATACCATGAGTACCTATCTATCTTATTCATCTCACACTTATGAATATGTATCCTATTACTTCAAACTCAGCAATTTCAAAAGGAATCACCTTTCCTCTGAAAATGGGCTCCTCACCAGTTCCCTCTAAATGCCCTGTGCACAACATTTCCATCTACCTAGTTCTACAAACCAGCAGATATCTGGAAATAATTTCCCCTCTTCCTACCAAATAGTGTTTTTAAAAATCTCTTGAACCCGTTCCCTCCTCTCCCTCTGCCATTTCATCCCCTCCTTGTCTCTCGTCTAGCAGCTCTTCAGCCTCTGACCTGCCTGCCTACAGTCCCACATCCTCACTCTGCTCTTCTCCTGTCACCAGAAGGACTTTTCCAAAACTCTCATCCAGTAGCTACTGCGTAAAACCTTTCAGTGGCTCTGAAGTCCCACCCTGAGCCCACAGAGGGCCGTTCTCTGCTTGGACCTGTCTTTGGCCTCGGACCCTGATGTCTCCCATGAATTTTCTTCATTATAGCCACTCAGCCTCTCCCCACTCAAACTCAGTAACTGAACAGATTTGGGTAAAGTGGGATTTTCTGTTTGTTTTTTAGCTGTCTTGCTATCCAACCTCATAACATTTGCTATCAAAACCTGAGGAACCAGGAGCACTCTGCTGTTTTAACATCTCTCTACCATTTAACACCGTGCCTCAGTATGTCCTTCTAGCATTCCCACTCCCACCTGACCTGCCTAGTGGGCCTGGCTGTATTTCAAGACCCAGTCTGTGTCATAGCCCTTTGGAGGCACCCCTTGAATAATGCCTGAATTTGGTGCTTCTGGTGACCTTAGTACAAGCCTTACTTATAGTACCTATTGTACTGTATTACAATGATGTGTTTACTTGTCTGTTTTCCCTACTTGATTATGAGCTCCCAGACACAAGCCTATTTATCATTTACCTCTACCCTATCACTGTGCTGAATCAATATTTGTTGAATGAAACAAAAACTCTGAGCTCACAAATATGGACACATACACATTCGATATACTCAGAAAAAGAGAGCTACATAGACAATAAACCCTTTACATTTGGAGATGTTTTAGCTCAGAATCAGGCACTCACATTTTTTTGATTCAACAAAAACATTTTATAGGATACTTTCTTATACATTGGTCATTAATTGGTGAATAAAATGAACACGGTCTGTGGCCCCAGGAGTTTACAATCAAATGTGGAGACAGAGTACAAGTCAACATGAATGGGGCTGGTGCTCTGAAAGAACAGAGCAGAGGCACACGTCCTGGGGCAGGGGAGGCGCCAGCTGCTCTGGACGGCTGGTGAAGGCTTCTTGAGACACTGACCAGTGACCGGGGCTAGCGTGCCATGGACAGGCAGAAAGCTGCTCCAAGTAGAAGCCACAGCATGTGTGGAGGCCAATTCAGGAAAGAGGTTGGTATGCTTAAGGGACTGAGAACAGGCCACTGTGCTGGCAGCATGGAGAGCAAAGGGGATACCGTACAACATGAGGTAGGAAGAGGGCAAGGAGCACACTGTAAAGGTCTCTATATGGCCAAAGCTCAGTTTGGTTCTAAATTGTGTAGTGGGAAGTCTTCACAAGGCTTTTTTAAAATGGGTGTCATGCTCTGATTGATATTTCCAACGATAACTGAGTGAAGAGAGGGAACAAAGGGGAGGGGGTCAGGGAAGAGGAAAGTGGGGTCCTTCAAGTGAGAGGTGGTGGCTTGATGATGGTGGTGTCGGGGTAAAAAAAAATGGAAGAAGAGACTGAAGAGAACTCTGGATGGTAATGCCATTAGCAGGCAGTCAAGTGAGTGAAGAGGTAACTGAGCATACAGGCGATTATCAGGAAATGGTTTTGGACACAAGTCTTGAGGTATCTGTGAGACATTTCAGTGAGAGCAGGTGTCTGTGACTTGAGCACACTGGTTGGTTTTTAGTGGAGAAAAGAGATCTGGGAGTCCTCACCATGCAGAGGATACGCAGAATCACACTGACGGAAACCACCTAGGAAGAGGGGATAGAAGAGGAAAAGAGGGTCCAACACTGAGCCCTCAGGGGTCAAACACTTAGAAATCAGCAGGGGAACCTGCACAGCAAACTGAAAAGTGCCAAAGGAGAGGCCCCAAACCATGTGAGTGCAGCATTACAGAGGCCGAGAGAGGCAAGCACTTCTGGGGAGGGAACAGACAGCTGAGCAGGTGCTGCCAAGAGCTCCAATGCACTGAAGACAGAAAACGGCACTGGCTCTGGTCGGCTTTGCAATTGGTTGGCATCTTGAAGCAAGGAGTGGGCAGGCAATCTAGTGAGGCTGCGTGAGGGGAGAGAGGACACTGAGAATTCCATCAGGTTCTACTAAAATAGAATCTTCATCCATCATTCACCTGCTAGTTCCTTAAAACCAGCCAAGAGCTACGTGCTGTTTCTTTACAAATTTAGAACAGGCTTATCTTACATCCTAACAGATTAAACCCAGATCAAATGCAGAGTCTCCAGTTTGCCTTCTCCATACATCATACTTCTTATATGGAAAACAAAGATTACTTTTAGGTGAGCCACAGAATTTATTTTCATGAATTTTTATTCAAAAGCAAAAGATGTACTGGCAAACATGCAATCATCCCTCACTTTGGGAAATTTCCTCTAAGATGCATTATAACTTATTACCTCCTCAGGCTACTTACCCACCCACAGGGAACCACAAGGTGCACACCTCATGCCTGCTCATGCACACCTTCAGCAACATTCCAGTGTGTTTCCCAAAGTATATTCTGCCGAAACTGTTCCCATAACAAGAACCACGCAGGTCTGTGGCCTACTTGTTTGAGGTTTTTCTTCAGAAAAATGGTGTCATCGAGAATAATACATTCCTCTTGGTTTTCACCTTTCTTTAGTCTCCTTTCATCTACAACAATCTCATGGATTTTTTTTTTCATGGCACTGACTTTTTTTAAAATATGTTTTTATTGATTTTAGAGAGAGGAAGGAAGAGGGACAGAGAGATAAAAACATTGATGAGAGAGGATCATCATCAATAAGAGAGAAACATCAATCAGCTGCCTCCTGCACACCCCCTACTGGGGATTGAGCCTGCAACCTGGGCATATGCCCTGACCAAAATTAAACTGTGACCTTCCGGTTCATGGGCCGATGCTCAACCACTGAGCCACATGGGTCGGGCAGCCAACATTGCTTTCCAAACACATTTGTCAGCTTCTCCTTCTGTCTGCCCTTTGTCAGGCTTTCAAAATTGTATTAATAGAGATACACATTTCTTGGTTATAAAGTGCTTACAGATCATTTTATTTGTCAGTGAGGATATAAATTTGTGGGGTTTTTTCACTTACCATTTTCAGTGCATCTTTACAAGTAGCAATAATAGTCCATTACTAATTCTAATAGAAACATGATAAAACACTATATATACAACATGTAACTACCTGTAGAACCTCTAGGCTGTTTCTAATCTTTCAACATCTTAAGTAGAGTCATGAACATGCACTTTTTCCTTGGGGGGAAAATAAAACTCTGCTTTTTAAAT